GCTAGCTGAAGGTTTTTCTGTGTCTCCTCCCTATCGCCCATGATCTAGGTGTTCAAGAGAACCAAGTGTAAAAATGAAAGATCCTGTCAAAAAAATCCTTGGCTATAAAGGTGTCAAAATCTGACTCTGGGAATGTAGTATTTATTATGTGGGTGGTTTTGGCTTGCTACTTTTTTCCTTTCATTTAATTCTTCCAAGATGTTTTAATCAGGTCCAGAGCAAGGATCTGTATGTAAAGGAACATTCTGTACCACATTAGACCTGATTGGTCTGCAATGTGGTTCCTGGTGCTTCAGAAGCTGTGAGCGAGCCTATAGGTATACATACATAACGTAATTCAGATTAATTCTGTAAATTCAAAAATACAGTTTGATTCGGTTGCTGTGCTTGTTGACAGGAAGCAGTGAGATGAGCATTATTAATGGAGACTGGCTGGTCTGTGAGCACCACACTAAATCTCACCGTTTTTGGAGAGTGTTAAGGTCTGAAAAGTAATAAACACAGTATGTACAATAAATCCATTTTAGAGGCTGTCCTGTTGGTTGATGTAGCACCTATGTCCTATGGACTATTGCATGATAAAAAATAATAAAACAGTGATAATGGTGATGGGTAACACAGTCATCCGGTAGAAGAGAGCTCAGTAGAAGACCTCTTAATATGCATGTGCTGCTAGATTTTTGGAATGCACAAGACATGTTGCTTAGACAAATTTTTAGATTTTAAAGCATCACAAATGATGCTCTGAGGATTCTTGCCTGATGCATCCTTGCTTTCTTGTCATTCCAGCTGATCAGATCTAAAGATTTAATGTGCTTGTCTTATGGTGGTAATAAGACTGTATTTCTCAGCATTTTATAGACATGACTTTCAATGTGACCATCATAAAAAAGAATTATAATTTTAAAAGGAAGAATTGAATTCCAAGGCACCTGTGAAGCATCACTGGGGGTTTATTTACATAGTTTGACAGTTTGATGTTCAGTCAGTTGCTTTACAATTTATGAAACAGCAGTAGTGGTCTGTGGCACAGAGGTGTGGGATTATGGTCTGAAAGGAGAATACAGGGAGCAGGGTCCAAAGACCACATGTTTTGTTATCTTTAATACATATAAGAGAAGTATGAAATACATATTTTATACCATTGCTTATCCTTTGCAGCCATTTGAAAGGCTTGCATAAACTGTGATCTGGTGCTGCATTACGGCAGCAATGGAGCCTAGAGTTAAGAGAGGATCGTGTGAGTGGCTTCTGGATCACAGCAGCATTGAAGCCAGAATCCTGTCTTCCCCTTCTCTGTCTTTTTCCCACAGTTACATCCTTTATTTATAGGGAAGAGGAGAAAGTCAGGTTGTGAGTTGTAAGCCGTGTTGCTGTAGGATCAAGAAGTGTCTTTTTGACTTTAGGAAAATGCTGATGATAACACAATAGGTGCTAAAACAGCCAAATAGTGGTCACAGTGTTGGCTAAAGGGTCACCTTGTCAACCAGTAGAAATGCTTTTCTGCTGAGATTTAGATAATGCTTTCCCTTATCTAATTTCTTCCATGTGTACAGTGCAAAAAATTTTGATAACTGGCATCTTTTCCATTGAAATGCAGTTAAGTCAATAACCAGTATTTAAATTTTCCATCGATTTATTTTCTTATTGTGGTCCTTTGTTCTGCTGATTAAGGATACTGGTTAAACTCAGACACCAGAGTGAAAAAAGCAGGCATATTTTACTAGTGATAACCAATGTAACAGTGTAATACAGAAAACATGCAGTAAGAAAAAGCAGAATAGTGCACTTAAAGCAGCAAACAGGAAAAAACAGGATAATGCATTAAATCATGACTACACGAGAGAGACAATGGAGATTAAGAAAAATACATCACCACTCGCATATATTACCATCACCCAGCCCCGCAGTGGCTGGGCAGCCCTGGTTGCAGCGAGGGTTTGGAGAGCCTGTCCCGGCAAGGGGGAAATCCTACACGGTGCCTCCACCCATAGGTGAGGCTGCCAGAGTCACTGCAAAGGGGCCCAGCCCTATAGACCAGAGATGGACAGGCCAGAATAGCCGGCACCTTTGGTTTGAGAGGAAAATTTCTGGTTTCATTCTCCTGTTGGATTTCACCCAAAGCCTGGCCAGTGCTCGGGAGAGGAAACCAAGGGAGTTTCTAACAAGGCCAGATACTTGGGTTCTCAGCCTTGAACAGGCTAAACACGGGAAGTTGGAGACATTCTCACTACTGATTATATTCTGTCTAAGCTGCATCTTTCACTAGTGATCTTACATACTTTGTTAATGATTACACACTAAGCAGCTTTGGCTTGGGGCCTTTTTGTTCAGGCTGCAGAACTTCAATGCTTTAGCACTTTTTAACATCAGCATAAGTGTGTTGTTATAACTTAGTACAATACCTACTAGCACAATGGTTATCAGTTATAAAATATACAGGATTCATCTATAGGTCAACTCTGGCTTGGGCCAAGTTGTCCAAACCTTAGCACTTCATCCTTCTAACATGTCTTGATAGTTCAGGAAACTGTGCTATAAAATGCTAAAATTTGTAATGTTGAAAGAAATTGGATATATGAGAGTCCCATAATGGGCAACCAATAAATATAATATTGGGTGAGGTAAAGTGTTGGAGGGATTACTGAAATGTCTTTGCATCTTTGATAAAACCCAAAATACTTGTTGGTGTTCATCTCAGTAACTTGAGCTGGTCAGGAGACTGGCAACAGCATTTGACTCTAGGTTTAAAAGGAGATTGAAGATTGAAAAAAAGTTAATTAAATGAAGTTAGTTTCAAGATTTTTTTGTTCTTTTTTGTATATTTACCTCTGCTTGACTGAAATGTATGCTGCAAGTGTCTCCAGTTTGCAGCACATCACAATAAATGCTTCCATTAAATTTACTGCTAAACTGGATGCTGAAAAGGATATTTTTCTGTGTATAGATGAATCCTGCTACTGCTGACATTTGTGTGAACTCAGTATTTGTGGGCAATGCCTGAAACTGGACCTGTTTGTTTGTTAGATGCCCATTGTGCTGGTTTCTGTGTCAGAGGCACAGATGTCAGAAGAAGAGATCAGGTGTTGCTCTGTGAAATGATGTGTATTCATGACGTTGGGCAGTTTAACCTTCCCCTTTCTATGAGGAGTAGCACTGCTCCTCAGCACCTGAGAGTGCTTATCTACAGGGCAACTCCGGGGCACTGGGAACCCTGCTTTTTGGAGAGCTGAGCAGCAATTTGCTGTACAGAGGAGGTGAATGGTAAGGTGCATGTGACAGTGTCTCCTTCAGTCCCTTGCTCTGATATGGAGGTTGCACATGAGCTGATCCATAGCCAGCACTGTGTGTTTCCTCCCTATGTGCACCCTCTTCTTCTTCCTGCCCCTCCCAGCCACTTCCAGCAGTCAAGCTGAGTTGCTGTAAACTCCAGATGTAGGAAAGACGTGAGCCATTCATGTAAAATTTTTTTCTAAGCCAGCACTCTTGAGAGTGTGAGAAAAGCAGAAGAGGTCATTTAGTGCTGTGTGTTGACATTTATTGGTTCTTCTGCAGGAAGCAAAAAAGAGGACCATTAAGTACAGCTTTATATCCAGGAAACACCATTATAAGCTGATTTGTCAGGGGAGCACATGTTGGAAGTACTGATTGTATTTCAACATGGTTCTAGTCAGTGCTGTGTGGAAAACATTGATTGCTTCCGATGAGCTAAAGCTTCAGGTTATTTGTCCACTCAGGATCCATATTGAACTCAGTACTTAGTATTTGCAAACCCACAAGCTACCAGGGGCTCCACAGTGTGATACAAGCAAAGGGTAAGGGAACTGAAGTCGGGATGGCATCATCTCTCCAATGAGTTTTGTTTGTATTGTCCAGTGCAAAAGAAGTTTATTGGGTCAAGATAGTCATATGACAGAAGTAACCAAGAATAGGTCTTATTCTGTTGGCATGACTTAATGATTTGAATGTGCTTGTTTTCTTGCAGAGGAGATGGCAGAGGTTTTGGATGTGTTCCTTTAAAGAGGGAGAACCATTGCAGTGAAGGGATTTTATACAGCAGGCTAGAGCAACAGTGTAAAACATCTGACTGGCACGTCTGTCATTTCAGCCAAGCATGAAGTGATGCCCTGTATATACATAATCTGTGTGCAGCTGTAGTTGTGAGTTGGTGACAGGTCTGGGATAGAAGCTAATGTGCCTTATCTGTTCTGTAAGGTGACACTTGTGAAAAGCTCCACCTTGAAATACTCCTTATGGAATTAATATTATGGTTTCTTAATTCCTCTTGTAACCCTGTTTTATTCTGTAGAAGATGACTTGTGCATAGTTGTTGAGCCCACCTTGCTGTTTTAAAGATCTGGAATTGCTTCTGGTATGCTTCATTTGACAGCAATATTATTTTTAGATTATGAATTTTGAGGATGTAGTGAGTTTGAAATATAATAATAGAAATCAGTGTTGCTATGATGACTGTAATTACAGTAATTCCAATGATGACTTGTATCAGTAGTTTGCTGTTTAGGATGGTTAAGGTGACCTGCCTTGGGAATAACTTCTCTGAAGTTGCTAAAAACAACAGACACTTGGGACATTGGTGTGGAGTAAAAGTTGCTACAAATACACCTCAAGGTCAAATTCCATTTTTTTGCCCCTGGAGATACAAAATGCTTCAATTCCAACTACTTCATTTGCTGCAACTGCAAATGTGTCAGTGGCTGGGCTCAGGGTGACCTGTTTTGTTTACTGTGTGTATTCTGTAAAAAGCACACAGCATAAACTAAGACCAGCCACCCCTCCTCCAGTCTTACAGGGGCATCATTACACCAGTGGTTCCTCATTCTGGGGAAATTTGGGGCAACCAAATAGCTGATTAGCTTAATAACATTTTTTTTTTCCTGCTAATTCTGGAAGATGTCGACTTAGTTTGGCAGACATGCATGGGGTATAATGATATCAATGCCTCCTGATGAGTGTAATAATTCCATGGTTTATTCTGATTCTAGATGCTGTGACAATGGAGTTGATCTGCGCTGAAGTACCCCTCTTTATGTAAGTTCTACAACAGTAGGCTTCTGACTGGAGAGTAATTTTTTGTTAGGTAACGGCTTGTTCAAAAAGTAGAGTGAATGAAACCAAAAACCATTCTCTGATTGAAACCACAGACTGTTGAATGTTGATGTCTGATGCAGGCATGTGTGAGGATGATGGTTTTCAGTTTTCACAGAACTGTGGCTCAGTTCTCTGAAGTAATTGAAATGCTTTCCCCTTTACGATCATTACTTTCTTCTTCAGTAGTCTCAGTTACAGTTTTCAAAAGCAGAGTTACTGCCTGTGAAGAGACACCACTCACTCTCACAATTTGTGGCTGTTTTTTCACTATAAAATTTCCAATTACCATTCTCTTCACGTTTTCAAAGCTGGAAATTGTTTGTCAAAGAATGAGTTAAGTTGAAGTTTGTAATCCAGTGGATTTTTTTTCTGCAAAACCTGAAGTGATTGTTTAAAATAGTTGAACTCAGAGTTCAAAACCAGGTAGTAACAGGAGTGAGTTGGTGCCTTCATTGGCATGTGAGTATGAGGATTAAAACTTGGGCAGTCTAGCCACTATTATTAATAAATCATGGTTGTCTTTTCTGGCTTGTTCTGCTGCAGTTTGCAGTGAGAATGGTAGTAGCAGGGGTCCATGAATGTTGGTGTCTAGGAGGGTAGTGGGAGGGCACTGAATGGTTTTCAAAAGGGTGGTAAAAGGTGAAACAAAGACAGAAACAAAACTATTATCTGCTTATTGTGTTGAGATGGCGGTGGAAATGGAGAAGTACCAATAATCTGCACCTCTGAGTACTGAAGGAACATAGGGTTGCTAAGGCACCAGAATGTATTTTCATTCTATTTGTCAGTTCGGGAGTGGGAACTTCAAGCTCACAAAAATTAGATGCAGTGTCTTTAAAGGTGGTGGGCGTGTGGGGGATTTGAGAGGGTTGCTCATGTGATGTTGGTTGTGTGGTGCAAGGTTTTAAAAACAAATTTTGACAGAAAGAATAATCAAGGACATGGTGCTAATGGATTAAATTCCACATGGTTTTATCACAGGTGGCTGTGTCAGACTGATCTGGTATCTTCCCATGGAAAGATAACAAACTACTTAGAGAAGGGCAGTGCAATAGGCTTCATCAAAGTTGCTGAAAATTTAACATTGATACTGCATCTCACAAGAAATTCTTACAGAAGATAAAGAAGGTGGAGATTAAGGCAAAGAGAGAAGGATATCTGGATACTGCAAGAACAGTTATTAGGGTAGAGAGAAAGGTATTCCAAGTAGTACTCTTTAAGGGTCATACTTAAGGCCAGTTCTGTTTAATATTTTGATTATAACACTGAGAGCCAGATGTAGGCTTGTGAAACAAATCTGTGGACACCATAATATTGGGAAATGCTGGTTAGTACTGAGGAGAATTGAATTATTATGTGGGAAGACTGAATTTTCCCAGCTTTTATTTACTACAGTTAATAAGAACATGGTACGAAGCTGTGCGTTTGGGGACTAATACTGATACAACTTTTATGAACTAGTGACTTATCCGGTGGAGGCAGAGAGGACTTAGGGTGTATTAGTCATCTGTAGAGTGATAGTTGTGAGGATCTGGCTTGAGTTGAGAACAGTTGCCCTAAGCTTTGCACAAGCCCGTATCGGACCTGAACTTAGATAACTTGCTGGTTGTGGTCTGGAGCCTTTGTTACTTGCTAGATGTGATCTGCAGCCTCTCACCAACCCTGGTGGGTAAATCCCAGAGGGGTCTCATAACTTGCTAGAAACCAAATGAAAGTGGTTTGGATTGCCATTAGGCAGTCATCGACTTGTTTTCTTGCGGTGGGAGCAGGTGAAGGTGGTGTCTTTCTTCTGGGTCCCCAGTGTCCTACCAAACCTGAGTATAGTGGTGAAACATGGACTTTCAGAGACTTACAGCGGGAGCACCTGGGGTGAGTCTCCCAGAAACTATGACTATAGTAATTTTTTTAACAGCCTCCTTTATTTTGTTTAGGTATGTGTGTGTCAGGGGTATGTAAAGCTTTCAGGGCTTTGCAGGGTATGGGAAGAGGCTGTGAACACCCTAAGGTAATTGAGAAAGATTTAAGGTTGTCTCTCACCCCTCATCTAAAACTTGGGGAGGTCTTGGCAGATCTTATACTGATCATCTGAGGTTGATGTAGTTGCTCTGGTGAGTTAGTGTCTGAAAGTGTTGCAGCTTCACAGTCTTCCTGGTCTGAGTACTTCTCAGTGCATCTGGGAAGATCAAAGAGGTCTGTCCATCTTGAAAAACTCCTTGAGTCAAGACATTTCTCTTTGTTCAGTCCAATTACCTCATTGGTTCTAGAAACTCCTTCCAACTGCTTCTGCTTTGTTTGTATGACTTTGCTGAAGAAGACTTTGCTGAAGAACACTATCAAATCGGCATTTAAATTAGCTGTGAAAGTCCTTTCGGATTGTGCAGTTCCTTGGACAGTTTTCATTAAGCAGTTCTCTGACTGAGCTTGTCTAAAATCTGTTGAATTTTTACCCATAAACAGGGATAGAGAAAGCATCTCTTGGGAAGACTTAAGGGAACATGACAAATGTTTGGACTGCAGTGAATTCAGGTATTTCTCTGATGTGTTTATTTCCAGTCCCTTTTAAAGGGCACAGTGGAACTACAGAATGCCATGTCATGGCAATTGCATACTGTTCACGTGCAACTTAAAAAATGTCGGCATATGGTTATAACACATTCTTTTCTGTCGGAAAAGTGGAAGTGATCAAAAAGCAGGAAGTAATCCCTTATTTCCAGCCTTTATGAAAGCATAGGGGTTTTGCTCTTTGAGAGAAAGAGAGATCTATTGTATGCTGGGTCCAAACTTAAGATGCTTTACACAGTGTATTTAAATGGGCTTAACATCTTTATCAAGTGGATTATACACTCTCTGTATTCCAAAAATGTCTGCTGAGAGGCTTGTACTTCATATTGAATTATCTGAGAATAACTGCAGTTCTGTGTTTACAATACACATTTTTGAAGATTGTATGCAAGGTACTTTCTTGATTTGCTCTATGTGAGCAGCTCTTACACAGCTAGAGGATGCATCCATTCAGCACTGTTACTTCCAACTGTCACAGTTCATCAGTACTGAATTTCTTTGCAAATCTAAACCACTATGTGTAATCTGATTGGCTGAGTGGAGGCTGTTCCTTTTTTGTTGCATGAGAGGGTATGCATTCAGAGAGCTCAAAGGCCTTGCTGCATAGTATAATTTTTGTGAAATACAATTTAAAATTACTCTATGAAATTACTCCATTTCAAAAATGGATTATTTTGACAGAGTTCTCTTTATATGTAATTTTTGTGGTAGCAATACATTAAAATCTAATTACAACACAGATAAATGTCATAATTTTAAAAATAAATGGTAATGAAATATAAGATTAAATATTTGAAGCACATACTTTTCAGTTAATTTGGGGAGCCTGTTTCCAACTTCTAGACAGCAAAATGCTGTTAACTTCATTATTAAATTACTCCTTATAAGCCAATTTGATTTTTGGAATTGACTAGCCAAGGATAGACTGAAACGTCATTCTTTCAATGCCAGTAATACATTGCTTAAATAAGTAGAACCTGAATTTAAATAGCTTTTACTCTTCTAACTTATGTTTTTTAACTGATACAAATAAAATTATTCAGTTCTTTCTGTAAGGAGAGAAGTAAACTGAGTCTTCTCATTTTATATATACTATATATATACTACTATACTATATATACTATATACTATACTATAAATTCTATATATACACATATACTAAACACTGTGTGTGGAATAAGACCATGCTGTCTTCATGTGGCCACTGGTTTTACTGTAGATGGAAAAAAAGACTATCCACGAAAGATAAAAATCAAAATATCTGATGAAGCACTTTTCAGATATTAAAAAATTTAATGGCAGTTGTTCCTCCTATTGAAAGCAGTTTGTAGTGTGGAAAACCATATCTTTAATGGAAAATTCTTCCTTCTTAATAATGGTAGGTTACTGGTTTGGTTTATTTTTGTGGTATTTTTTTGTTTGTTTTGTTGTTGTTTTTTTAAGAAACATTATTGATTACTAACATTGATCTTTGACATTGTAAAAACAAATATCTTGCTGCCATGGGACAAACATACCATAGGAGTAGTCAGCTCTCAAGACCAGAAAATAAGTGATCTCAGAAGTTTGTAAATTATTCTCTGGGGAGAGTTTGGTGAATATTTCCTGTGGGAGCAGCAGAGAGAAATAAAGAGATGCTGGGCCATGGAGGATATCCACAGTGGTTCCCTGTAGACATCAGAGGTGTCTCATCTCCCAAGAAGAAGATGCTGGAGGTTACATGCCCATTCTGTCTTTCCAAAGGAGTATTTGGACATCAATTCTCTGGGAAGAGGCAGTAACATGGGCTCCCATCTTTGAGACTCAAGATCTCGTGGAAAATAAAACTTCCACTTGGTCCTGTACTTTACATTGCTTAGTATTCTCAAAATGTAATCTTCTGAGGTATCACATGCTCATGCCTACAACCACTGGAAATGGCTAGAAGTGCTTGAGATCAAGGCTTGATTAATTTCTTCTATATTCTGCTACACCAAGTGTCTCCCTCTTAAGTGTATCTGAAGTTTGTTCTTATTTGGAGTTGGATTTTGTTTCTGACACTGTTACAGCTTCTTTGGTGAAGTGTAGGTGCCAAGGAGGGTGGGGCGTTCATGTATTCACTGTTTAATGCCAATGTATTGAAGTATTCTGGCAAACGGTGAGGGTTTAGCAGGTTTTCCTGTGGCTGGGTCAGGGAGGACTGAGGGTAGGACGTAGCACTGGGCTGCTAGCAGCCACAGAGAATTTGAGTGCCTGGAGACTCTCCCACCTTGGAGAGTCTTTGCCTCAGCTGGGTCTGTGGAGTGCTAAGCATGTCAAGTGTTCATCTTCTTTCTTTTTTCTCCCTGATTTTTTTCGGTCCAGCATGTTTCCAATTAGTGGTCTTCATGGAGTTTGCA